TTGAGAATTCGGTTTTGCGAACCGAACTTGCATGCTTCTTGACTCAAAAATTGATTGGATGATGGTCAATACTCAGATTCGGATATGAGTCCGGAAGAGAACGAATGGAACATCTGATTTCGAAACGACTCAAACTCACTAACCTAGGCCCAATTACCCAGAGGCCCAATTCCTCCAGCGGCCCGATTAAGCCAAGACAGATTAAGTCATCAAGCTGGTTTGACAAGTAGTTTGACAAGTCATTCAACTAGTTCAAGTCGGTTTTAACGTAATAAGTGAAAAAATCTCTAATACCAAATAGATTACGCATATATTTGACATATTTTAAAATAATTTCACTAATCTACATTCATATATTACCAAATTATTTCTTTAAAAGAAATATATATATTTTAAAATTATAAATGCTCATCTTCAAACCCGATTTTGACTGGTCAGACCACCCAATTTTAACTGGCTTAACCGATTGGACTAGTTTGATCCGGTTCGACTTTTTTCAGACAACGTTCAACCGAAGTACATTCCAACCGTTTAGATCACATATTTCGGTCGGATCGTTTGAACCAACCGGGTGGATACAAGATTGACAACATTGGTTCAAACTCGGTCATGCATTTATGTATATATGTCCAATCATGTAACACACGTTCACGTACACAAAGTCACGAAGGTAATACATGCATAGCATAAGTTCCATCCACGTCGAAATCTATGGATTGGCGAAATTTGAATTCGTATTTTAAATTGGAACCCGTTCAGCGGTTGTAACTACGACTGGTTATGAACCTAATCACGTGTTCGATTTTAGGCCAACAGAATTTTAGTCAGTTGATTAGAGGTGAAATTGGTTGGTTGAATTCACAAATCTATCAAAATCCATCCGCAATCGATCTACCTAATATATTGTCGGTGGCTTTAATGGATGAGTTTGAGTTGTAAAATCACTAAATATTAGATGGATGTGGTCCAACTTTTTAACTTCAAACCGTCAAAACTTTAACCTATAACTTTATCTAAACTAAAATCCAAAAAAATCACGAAAAAGTTGTCAATTTCGATCAAAAGATCTTCTCAAATCTCTAGTTATCATTTCTTTCCAATTTTGAATGAATATATTCTCAAACCTATGATTATAGATAATAATGGCAAAGTATATATTTTTTTTCGTGGCTCGATACTTATATCATATGTTCACTTCCTTCTACGATTTTTTGTTATTTTTTTATTGTTTGTATACTATTTTGGCTTATTCAGTTGTTCATTTCAGGAGTGTTTGATGAGTGATTGCAGTGTTCAAGAAGACGCGATTAATCTCTCGCCTTGGCGCGATTAATAGCTTGGCAGGAGGAAATCGCCTCGTCTAGCCCTGGGCGATTGATCTAGGCACCTAGGCACTCGGAGGCGCGTTTTCACCCTGGTGGGCGACGCCCAGAACAACTAATAAAGGGGAAAGTGTAGCCTTTTTGTGAAAATCCCAAACCCTAGTCTATTTTTCATTTCCATTCGACCAGCCGCTCCCTCTCATCGACCAGCAGTGAGATCTCTCCTCATGGTTGGTGACTTAGGATGTTTGGGATTGTGGAAAGGGTTGTATGTGTATATGAATGGATGAATAATGATATCGGGACTTGGGTTTTTGTGGAATATGGCTTATCTAACATATTTTTTTCAATGTTTAATCTCGCCTAGGCAACGACTAATCGGCCTGGGTGCTGGGCGGTGCCTCCTCGCCTAGATAGCGCCTAGCGTCTTCTTGAACATTGAGTGATTGTGACTCAAAACTTGGAGAATTAGCTAGATTCATGATGAAACTTCCTGTGTTTTCTCTATTTTGCTATGATTAAACTTAGACCACATTTATCAGTTGAATATTTTTGTGACCTGAGATCAAATACTAGTGTTAATAACTTAATATTGAAAGTTAAATGATGCATCTAATTTATGCATTAATGTCACGCAACCCAACTCACCCACCGAACCCAACTCGACAACCCATCATCTGCGATATCCCAACCCAACTCACCCTTAAGTACATTATTCCAGAGGGCAGAGCTGAGACATGAAATTATGTGTGTTCGCTTTTCATAATGTAAATATTTAATACATGTAATAACAAAATTGAATTTATATGTATAATGGCAATAGACCTTATATCATCTCAAGATGGTATGTTTGATCCCTTATATAAGCATAGATCGTTTTTTGTTTTATTTTATTAAAAAAAAAAAAAACTTACATGTGGTGACGGTAGTGGCACATGCATATTTATCCGGGCGCCGCATTCGTTAGGCAAAACATAAATGAAAAACGTGTCTGGTGCCGACAATTGAAACACACATACGCTTGGCTGTTGTTTGATTACCTAGTCAGCTGCTTCTGCTTCTTCTGATGACGATGATAAGGTTTGCTTAAGAATAGCTAGCTTGCTAGGATTTACCCTTACACCCAGCTTTCGTGGATCTTGCGACCGAGTACGTAGGAGTAGCGGTCGGATATAACAAGAGCTATATATTTTATATAGGTGAAGATTCGCTGAATATATCATAGATTTTCCATTTCATTTTTAATAGCATTATTATTGTATCTAAGAGAGAGCTGAGAACTGCATGCATGCAGTTTCAGAGAACCAAATTCAGAGCACAAACTTTAGTCATCCTTGTTTTAGTACTTGTTGTCCTCCTTGCCACTTGGGCATAACCAAATTCATCGCTCAGCCAGATAATTATACTCTACATCGAAGGTATTGATTGAGAACAAGCTTATATTATATTCACCAGGTCGCTTTTCTGCTTTTTGTTTTCGGATTATTTTGTCGATCAATTTTGTAACAACCCAATCATTTTTTTTATAAACATATTGTTCGTATTGGACCTATCTTTGCATAGTTTTGATTATTGGGTGCATTATCATGGTGATTTCTCCGGAGGTCATCCATCTTTGCATGCATACACTGCTCAATACTAAACTTTTCTATTTTCACCATTGAATGTTTGTTAGTTGATGTTGAATGTTTTCTTATGAATCATATGTATCTCACATGTTTTGACGATGTGTAATTTACCTAACGTTAAAATTCTTGTTATTGCAGTTTTTTTACCGTTTTATTACGGTTCTTGAAGATATTCTTCCAATGGAACGAGGAGACATTGCAAAATGGGATGTCTCGGTAATTGTTGAACATGTTCTCATTCATTATTTATTTATTTATTTTAGAAAACTTAAGGTCAACTCATTTTGTTTGTAAAATGTCACTAAAAATGCATCATGATTCATATATAGTATTTGTCCGTTAATTAAATGAGGAATTTCAACTGCAATCAAATCAAAATACAACATAACTGATATGCTGCTAGGGCAAAAAAAAAAAACATGCAATCTCACCCTGGTGGAAATAGGAGCAGAGTCAGGACTCGAAATTCGGGTGAACGAGATTCCTTTTTGGTATTATCGTCAAAATTTTAAAAAAAATTGATAATAATAATAATATAGAAGGATAACATTATTTATTTATCATAGTCTTCAAAAATATTATTTGAGATCGTTAAAAGATCTAAAACATTATCTAAACTAAAATTTATGTTACAATATGTTCAAGATTAATAATTAAATTCCCAATAAAAAACTAATCATTCTTTTCAATTTGTACCATATTATGCACTCTTCTTGCTACTTAACAATGAAGGTCTGTGAATACTAGAATTAAAAAAAAAAATCATTTTTTATTTGTTTAAAATTATTCTTAAAATGTAAATTTATAAAGAACTTAAATTTTCAGAACTTAAGGTTGAATTAACGGGTTGGATTAAGAGCGACCCACTCGAATCTGGCCTAATTATGTTCACATCAAACAAAAGTCAATTTCTTCCTTGGAAAATTTTATTCATGCCACCTTTTTTCCGGAACTTATAAGCAAATACCGTGAATGCAAAAAAAATAAAAAAGTGAAAACGCAAAAAAAAAGACTTTTCTTGTAATGAGAAAAACGGAAAAGAAAGACTGTATGAGGAAGAAAGGAAATATTCAGAAAAATCACGACACGAAGGAAGAAGCAATTACGTAAGCCGGCCTAATGCAAAGTATTTATATTAGTCCGTGTAAGACGTGTACAAAAGAAAGATCTAACTCAATTATTATTGTCTGGGTATTTAAGGCAATCAATTAATAATGGCCAATCAATGACATCTGCTGCTACGACTTTGGCCTCCCTTGGTTTATCTGATCTTTGAAGTAAAACAAGACCATCAAAAGAAAGTGTGTAACAGTTTCCCCCATAATAATAGCTTGTTCTTAATTGCAACGAAAATTAACATCAGAAGTCAGAAAAATATCATCACATCAATGGGACAATGATGCATCATATACCTAACTATTGGGTACGTGCTCAATAAATTGAACACTATGACCTCCCTTTGAAGTGAGAAAATAATGACTAGGATATAACAAAAATGTTTACAGTACGAAGCAATTACTAGTAAATTGGGTTTATTATTTTTTTGACTAGTCAATTTTTTCGAGGAGCCTCTTTAGTTCTATATAGAGCTATAGTTACTTCAATTTAATTTAGCATGATTTTACCCGCCATTTTTAGAATTAAAGCTAAAAACAATTCGTCACACCAGTAAAATTAATCAAGACTTTTCCACCCATAATTGGCCATTCTATATCAAATATTGAGCTTGCCACGCAAATGCATCCATTATGTTATATGCCTCTTTCAAAAATTAGGTAGATAGATTTGACACAAGCATTTAATAATCTTCTCCCACAGCCCACAATCTACATAGGGAGATTCAGTCTTGTGTCTATCAATTACGAACAAAATCTATAATTTCATACAATTCTATTAATATTATTCAAATAAATTCATTTCTATTCGTACTACAAAATTAAAAAAAAAAAATAGAAGGAAAAGCTTCACAGTTATTCAATTTCTCTTTGTCATGACTTTGCCCACCACCCTCTTTTATAAATACCGCCACGCCACACCTTTTCTCATCATCACCCTATTCCAAAATCCAAACCAACAGTACTTCCCAATTATTTCTCTGACGTCCTTCCTTCTTGCTCCAAGAAAAAAAGAAATAAGCCATCCATCAGCTGGTTAGTTTTCTCTAAAATTTGACCCACCAAGATTCTTCAACGCAGAAGCTCGAAACGGCGTCGGAGCAGGAGGAGGTGGAGGAGTATTGCTGTTGTTGGTGCTGCTGCTGTATTGCCAAAGGCATGCAGAGCATCATCGATGCCTTGACTGGCGGCGGCAATGGCGGCCAGAAGAGGGAAATCAAAGGCACGGTGGTGCTGATGAAGAAGAACGTGCTGGAGTTCAACGACTTCAACGCTTCGATCATCGATCGCTTCGACGAGCTCTTTGGCCGGGGAGTTTCTCTGCAGCTCATCAGCTCCGTCCATGGCGACCCTCGTAAGTTTTCGTTTTTTTATTTTTTATTTATCAAACCTGTTTTTTTCCCCTAAGGTACCTGTTTTCTTATGTTTTTATTTTTGTTCCCCAAAAAACTAGATTGGTGGGTTTTGGTCTTTTGAGAAAGAAAAGTTGCTTTGTGTTTTGTTCCGTCTCATGTCTTTAAAAAAAAAATGAAATGTGTCGTCTTTTGGGTTTGTCCCATTTGTCTTTCTTTCTCTGTTTAGTAGTGGAGAGGAGGAATAAGGTTCTTATGCTCGTATCAGTTTCTTTACAGATATATCTATTTTTCCTCCCCATTGCCTCAATAAGCAATGTAGTTAAAATCGCGTTTTAAAACTTAAAAACTTACGATTTCACGCTTTTAGGTTACTAAAACGTTTCTACACAAAATCTAAGATTTTATAACTTATGTAGTTAAAAACTCCGCTTTAAAACTTATGTACTTACGATTTTACGCTTCTACATCACCAAAACGTTTCTGCATAGAAACTCGCTTTTGACTACATTGCTCATGAGAATGATGAGATATGTTGGATGGGTGCAAAAATGCAAATGATAAGTAGTAAATCGAAGGTTGTTAGGCAACTATGGGTCTTGTCCAGCATCTAGCTTGTTTAGGCGTTAAGTAAGTGTATTTAGGCGGCAAAAATATCGGTTTGTACCAAATGATTACTTAAACAGCAGTTTAATTTACAACGCTTTCACATTTCATTTTAAATTATTAATAATTTATTTAACACTTAACAATAAAAAAAACATAGTTTATCTTTTCAAGATATCATAGCTCATTAGCCCACAAAGTTGTCAAGCTATTAAAGATATTGAGGAGGGAAAAAAAGCGAACTTGAGAAGATGTGAAGTTCCTATTTTGATATTGACTGTCGTCTAATTCAGTCCGAATATGCATAATTAGGCAACACTTAGGAGTTACCTTACTCCTTCCAAACGTTATGAATCACTAAACTTATTGCAGAATTCCTAGACAAATCGTTTTCGGTGTTACCTTACACCTTGAAAGTGTCAAAACGTAAAAGTTAAACTCATCTTTTCGAACCATGAGTAAATCTAAAATCTATGGAGAAAGAGTTGTCAAAAGCAAAGCAAGAGACCATTAATGCTGTGGGCTAACTGACGAGAGAGTTAGGTGTGTGAATATGGGAGGGAGAGCAGGCCATCAATGGTGGCAGTACCATCGACGTATCAGTACACTTGTTTTAACTTTCTTCTTCCGCTTTTCCTTTCCTTGCTTGCTTTTATGGTCGACAGACAGAGTTGGTGGGACTATTGTTGAGATTTAATTTGCTACTTATACCAACTACGTACGTACATTGATTGACTGCGAGCTAGCGTCATGTGACTTCCATCTACAAGCGCCATAGAAATTGATCCACCAGTTGCCCCGACCCAACCTCTTACTATTGTTCTTAAGCAACCCAAAAACAAAACAAACAAACAAACAAACAATACGAGGAAGTTGGATTCTGACGATACCATTCCGTTCTAATTGGTAGATCGAGTTTATATTGGTGTATTTTGAAAGTAAGAATACGTTGTGTTAATTTTCTGAAGTGATCATTCCCCTTTTCGAGCTATCAATTTTCAGTTAGCTTGAACATTGCTCATCCATAAAGTTCGGCACCAAAATGTGAAAGCTTTTCATTTATTAATGTCGTTAATTCTGCCTATTGATTTATAATTACGCCAAACTATATACGGAATTTGATTTTGAGCCAAGGCAAGGTAAGGTAGAGATCAACTCAACTGTTGTTTTCAATGCATTAAATTCCAATCGTCCTTTCCAAGCTTAATTACCAAGTACTATAGTTGCAGGTTTGGTTGTGATGTGACTGAACAAGATGGTATAAAAGTTGATAAGTTAGTTGATCAGTAAATGAATAGTAACATGGTCTGTCAAAAAATGAAAAGAACAGTAACATCCTAGGTAAGAGTGTTGTGCCGGTTTTCTAGTCTTACTGCAGATTAAAGTAATTAGATAAAATGATCCAGATTCAAGATGAAAGCTGTAAGAATATCGTGTAATCACCAATTTTAACCAAAACGGAGAACACAGTATATACATCCATGATGACTTGAAGGGATTTTTCAACTGCACTTCTGTTCTGTGCAGAAAATGGCAATAAGGGCAAGCTTGGGAAGGCAGCATACTTGGAGAACTGGATACCAACAATCGCTCCGCTAAAAGCCGGCGAAACATCCTACGATGTTACCTTCGAGTGGGAAGAAGAAGAGATTGGGATCCCGGGAGCGTTTCTCATCAAGAACAATCACCACAGCGAGTTCTTCTTAAAGTCTCTCACGCTCCAAGATGTTCCTGGGGAAGGCAGGATCCACTTCCCCTGCAACTCCTGGGTTTACCCTGCCAAGCGCTACACCAAAGACCGGGTTTTCTTCACTAACAAGGTATGTCTAAACAATGTCGTTTGCTTACGGTTCTGTTAGGTTAAAATTAATGACTAGCGTTTTCCCATGCTTTGGTTTGTTGGCCAACAGTCGTATCTGCCACACGAGACGCCGTTGCCATTGGTGAAGTACAGAGAGGAAGAGCTGGCGGCTTTGAGAGGAAATGGAGAAGGGGAGCTACAAGAATGGGACAGAGTGTATGATTATGCTTACTACAATGATTTGGGAGATCCTGATAGCGGCGCAGACAAGGCTAGACCGACTCTGGGAGGATCGGCGGAGTACCCTTATCCTCGTAGGGGAAGGACTGGCAGGCCGCCCTCCAAATCAGGTAGAGCATATTTTCGACGAAAGAATTTATATTTACCAACCTATTTACATTTCGTTTTTGAATTCTGAGCATTGTGTATAAGCAGATCCCAACGTAGAGAGTAGGGTGCCACTACTGATGAGCCTAGACATATACGTCCCCAGAGACGAGAGATTTGGTCACCTGAAGCTGTCTGATTTCCTTCTCAATGGGCTCAAAGCCATTGTGCAAGTCGTGAAGCCTGAGCTGGAGGCTCTGTGCTCTGAGAATCGTGACGAATTCGATTCCTTTGACAATGTCCTGAAGCTGTACGATGGTGGGGTGAAGCTCCCTGGAGGTCCTACGCTCGATAACCTCTGGAAGGATGTTCCTTTAGATATCATCAACGCGATTTTCCACACGGATGGCGAACGGATTCTGAAATACCCTTTGCCAGAAGTAATCAAAGGTATTTATGTAGTACATTATGCATATAATGTGGCGATGGAGAGTTATCGAAGTTTAAAGTTTTGAACTCACGTTTCTTTCTACTTGGTGTTGATGATGATTTTGAGCAGAGAGTAGGACTGCTTGGAGAACTGATGAAGAATTTGCAAGGGAAATGTTGGCTGCGCTCAACCCTGTTGTCATTAGTCTTCTTCGTGAGTTCCCGCCGAGGAGCAAGCTGGATTCTAAAATTTATGGAAATCAGGACAGTTCAATTAGTGAAGAACACATAAGACATCATCTAAATGGATTGACCGTAGGCGAGGTAAAGTATCTCTTAAACATAAGTTATTCATACTAGAATCAATTGTCACTAATGTTTCTTTTGGATCTTCAGGCAATCAAGACCAACAAGCTATTCATACTTGATCACCATGACACACTGATGCCATACCTAAGGAGGATTAACAACAACACAGCCTCCAAGACCTACGCAACCAGAACGATCTTATACCTGCAAAGCGACGATACATTGAAGCCGCTGGCAATCGAATTGAGCTTGCCACATCCCGATGGAGATAAGTTCGGAGCCATCAACAAAGTGTACACTCCACCTCCAGCAGATCACAAGGAGGGCAGCCTCGAAGACACCATTTGGCAGTTGGCCAAAGCTTATGTAGCAGTAAACGATTCCGGCTACCACGAGCTCATCACCCACTTCTTGCACACTCATGGCGTGATCGAGCCATTTGTAATTGCAACAAACAGGCAGCTCAGCATAATCCACCCGATCTACAAGCTTCTACACCCTCATTTTCGTGACACCATGAACATAAACGCCCTTGCGAGACAGATCCTCATCAATGGCGGAGGATTGGTGGAGTTAACGCTCTACCCTGGCAAGTACTCCATGGAATTCTCTTCGTCACTATATAAATACTGGAACTTCACTGAACAGGCCCTCCCTCAAGATCTCAAGAAGAGGTAAATTGATAAAGAGTGATAATGGAAAATGAAAATTACCAACTTTTTTTAAGCTCATTTAGACATTTCATCAAACACCTTGCAGAGGAATGGCTGTTCCAGACCCAGAGTCCAAGCACGGCCTCCGACTTCTGATCAAAGACTACCCATACGCCGTCGACGGGCTCGACATCTGGTCAGCGATCAGAAACTGGGTAGCCGATTACACATCACTGTACTACAAAACCGACGAGGAGATCCGTAGCGACGCCGAGCTCCAATCATGGTGGAAGGAACTCGTGGAGGTCGGCCATGGGGACAAGAGAGACGACCCATGGTGGCCCAAGATGCAGAATCGAGACGAGCTCATCGAATCGTGCACGACAATGATCTGGATCGCGTCGGCGCTCCACGCGGCCACCAATTTCGGGCAGTATACCTACTCCGGCTACATGCCGAATCGCCCCACCATCAGCCGGCGGTTCATGCCGGAGGAAGGGACGCCGGAATTCGAGGAGCTGAGGGAGAACCCAGATAGGGCTTTCTTGAGGACGATCACGGCGAGGCTCCAGACGCTGCTAGGGATCTCGCTGATTGAACTTCTGTCGACGCATTCTTCGGATGAGATTTACCTAGGTCAGCGGGACACGGCGGAGTGGACGGCGGATTTGGAGGCGGCGGCGACGTTCGAGAGATTTGGGAAAGCATTGACGGAGGTTGAGGAGAGGATTGTGGAGAGGAACGGAGAGGAGCAGTTGAGGAATCGGTATGGGCCGGTGAAGATACCGTACACTCTGTTGTTTCCGACCAGCGAGGCGGGCCGGACCGGCAAGGGGATTCCGAATAGTATTACTATTTGAATAATCGAGCCCAAACAGAGATGGCGCGTAATTAATGGCTATGGGTTGTTGGCATATAAATATAATATTAGTGTGGTGTGAATTATATTTAATTTGATTCAAAATTCCATACTCATGTTAATTGTACACCCATCCAACTCTTGTATGTAATTGTGTCTTGACAATTTATATAATTATTATATTAGGTGTGCAAACATATAAACTATATAAAACATGTATATCATGTGTTATTTTCACTAGTCTTAAAATAAATATGTATTATGTCATTTTATATCGTTATCAATTTTATCATTAAAATTGTCTATTTTTTTTTTTTTTTGCTGGTGAAGTTTAGTCATATTCACTCAACATATCAACACATTATGGTTAACTCAGATACAACATAGATTAAAGGTCCTTCTTTCTACGCTCCGTCCTTAGTGTCTTAATAATCTTCACTGTGTCTTAATAATCTTGAGATGAGAAGGTCAGTGGAAAAAGTTAAAGTGACGGTGTCCTTAGAGAAATGAAGAACATAAGACAAATTTTAAAGGCTAATAGCACTGGAAAATTCGAATTATCAAGAAAGTGTCACTTATGTTCCAAACTATTAAATATAACATTTATGTTCTGAACTATTTTTTTGTTAGTGTTACCGAGTTTGACAGTCAATATTTAACAAAAAAAAATTTAGCAAATGTCGATGTGGCATCTGATATGGAATTTTATTGTTTTAAATATTAATTTTTATTTATATTTTCATCTAAAATTATTAAAATAAAAAATAAAATGTTACAAAAATCTCCAAATCTTCTTAATCGCTCCGTCGATTCCACTCCTAAGTCAACATCAAGTTGACCATAGTCAGGTCAACCGTTATCTATAACGGCTAATGAAATCGTCAAGACATAAATGACACAAAACTATCATAAGTTAGGATATTGATAGAATATTGAATAGTTCGCAACACAAATTACACTTTCTTGATGGTTCGGATTTCCCAGTGGTATTAGCTTAATTTTAAAACACCAACTTGTTAACTCATATGCATTACATTAAAACATATGGTTAATTTAAAACATATGTAGTATGTATATACAATATAAGTAAAATATTCTTAAATATTGGAAATCATAATGCATGTTTTGATAAAATAAGGAAAACACTGTTCACTAGTGTATTCGTTATACGCAGACAATGATCTGGGATTCCTGCACTCTTGAGTGTGTTTTCCAGGAAGAGCCAATCGATCCTGTCATAAGCTTTCGCGAGGTCCACCTTTAGGAGCATCAAACCCTTTTTTCCAGTCTTCTTTGCCATTGAGTGGACAGTCTCTTGCAAGATAATAACATTATCAGTAATATGTTGGTTAGTGACAAAACTAGATTGATTCTGATGCACCAAAGACGACATAAGGTTTTTAAGCATGTTAGCAATGCATTTGGCAACAACCTTATAACCTACATTGCATAGACTAATAGGCCTAAATTCATTCATGGATTGTGATGCACCAATGAAGGGTTCTCCTCCTTGCTTCTCCGAGGACTTAGATATGGAGTTCAGGTCTCCAATCAGTATCAAAGGGATATCAATTCATGTGCTCATTATGGCTAGCATAGATTGCTATCAGTTGACACACTCCTTTGTCAGCCGTAGTGCACTTTAGGTTGATAAATTGTTTATGACACTCAATGAGTTCTAAGTTTAGCTGGTCATTCTTCCACAACACCCGAATGCCTCCACTGAATCCAACCGCATCTGAGACTTCCCATGAATCAAAGCCAAGTGACTTGATCACATCGATAGCATCAGCACCACTGATTCTTGGTTCCAGTATACAGACCACATTTGGCGCGTATATTCTCAAATAAAACTCCATAGTGGAGTGAGATTTCGGGTGCTTTGCACCTCGATAGTTCCAGAAAAAGACTTTAATCATGATAAGATAAAAAGGTTTTACCAGCACATACCCCAAGGGAAAAAAGACAGGCAGAGTCGACGACCATGGCCGTCTCTACCATTTCTTCTCCATTGGCAATACTGCTCCTTTGATTTTGGTTTGCACTTTCAGGCAACATCATAGCTTTAGTTGAGCAAGCATCAAACTCAAGCTTACGAGTAAGGTTCCCACTATCCAGGGTTGTACTTGAGGCCTTCTGGGAGGCACCCATTGTTGAAAAAGAGGATTCCTTCATCTTTGGTTGGTGGCCAGACGAGGCATCCTTTGAAAGATCCTTCCCCTTCCCATGCTTTCTAACATCAGGAGTCTTCTGAAGGGAGTTTTTCAGTTGCTTTATTGTAGCTATTGGCTTCTCTTCCTGCTGAACCAACCTTCCTTTCCCAGGAGTCCCACTACTCAGCTTGGAGTTCCCTGTGGTCTTGCTGCTGGATTTAACTCCTGAGGTAAAAATCAATGGAGAGGCTTTCTGGTTCTCCTTCTTTCATGTTTCCTTCACTTGTCGTGCTTTCTTTTGCCTATCCTGTTTTTGTACACTTCCTTCTCCTGCTTATTACTATTTACAGTTTCTGTAGTCTTCCCTGTCTGGTCTTTCTTCTCCTTCTGAGATCTCTTCTCCTTCTCAATTTTCTTGTTCTGTTCGATGTCTATTTCCTTATTTTCATCATTGTCATTTTTTCCCTCTTTCTCTTCTAGCGCACTGAATCGCGAACCTCCCTGTAACTCTTCCTGTTTTAGCTCTAGGATTGCTTGTTCAGTTTTTGTCACTGCCATCCACTGTCTATTTTTCTTCCTTCTAGTCCTTGTTGCAAGCATCCATGGCCCGAAATCTTCAACAACCTCAGGGTGAATCTCCTGTTGTAGGACTTGTTGCTCCTCCTCTCTTATTCTTTGCTCCGGTTTTGCGTTTGCCCTCTCCTCTGCTTGGGGCATTTTTCTTCCAGATGCCCATAATGGCCACAATCATAGCACACCGTATCCTATCCCTCATATTCAACCCTCCCAACTCTTGGCGTCAATCTGTATTTCGGGACCAACCGCTTTCTAAGATCAATTTCCACACAAATACGTGCGTAATTTCCCTTGAAGCCATTCAATGTGTTGTAATCGATCTTGACCACTATCCTTAGTCTACTGTCAATGCTCGTCAAAATTTCTCCGTCAAAGTATGCCATTGGTAATCGTGGAAGACGAACCCAAACCATAGTGTTGTTGATAACGTTAAAATCCGGGTCGAAATCCAATCTCCACAGCTCAGAGGCAATGTATTGCTCGTCCACCGTCCATGGTCCTCCATAGAAAGCACGGTTGTAGTCCAATTGAAACCCAAAGATGGCCTAATAATATCGATTCCTGGTATCACCGATCTCCACCGACCCGGTTTTAGCCCACATCTTGTGCACTCTCTTGTGGATGAAAGCAAAAGGGAGGCTTTTCCCCAAGATTCTGAATGTAATTGTTCTGCTCCATCGATATCATCCTAGCATCTGTGCTTTTCTTAATCCGAATAGTAGGGCAGAGGGGATCGTCGTCAACATCTTCATCGTCGGATTCATCCGACATCAACTCGTCTCCATCGGGATCTCCGGTGCAGGTCCATTCCCAAGGACAGAGCCTTTGTAGGACACTCTTGCAGTCTGCACCGAAGGAATCTCCTCTCTTGGACTGGTCGTCAGTAACTCTAGATCAGATTCTCCCATAGCCACTTCAGTATCTTCACTCCTTGTCGTAACCACTGCGAAATCCATGCGTCCTTCTCCTGTGAACCCATCGCTCGTTGTCGCCTTGGCCTTCTTATTCGGTTGAGTGGGCGTCGTCGCCGGCGATTCGTCCGACGGTTTTAGATATGAGATGACCGCCCCCCATAGGAGGCTCCATCCCACAACGGTACCAAACGGGCAGAAAAAAAGGAGAGGACAAAGCTATTTTCTCATTCTAGCTTTACCTTCTCTCTCTTACCAACGATAGCTTTAACTAGATTGGCTTTTCTTAAGAGAAGCGATTGCTTCCTTTTGTAAATGATATGCTTTTTTGTTTTTTTATATCGAAAATTATAATCCTTGTTAGGTGAAACCATTGCTGCCTGATGGTGTGATTATTTATTCTTTATTGTTCATTATTATATCTACTGTATCATTTATAGTTGAAACTTATAACTGCGCTCCCCATTCAAAAATTCCTTGTCTTAGAGTGTTTTTCAGATGCTGGGGTGGCTTCCCATTTAGGAGGGATTTTCACCCTCTTTTCCCCTCTTCCGTCGCCTGCGACCTCCCTCCCTCCCTCTTTCACTTTCCATCCCGCAGCAAAGTAAACTCTGATTCCCTATCTCCCCTCGACCTTAATTCCCTTGCCGCAGCAAAATACACTCTGTCTTCTGTTGTATACTTTCAATCTCTTCTCGTTCGTTCTCTAAAATGGATTTGAGGGTTTAACTTGCGGATAAGCCAACCCGTTCCAATGACGCTACTACCTTGACACTGTGGTCCGCCCACTACATTCTTACAACTCTGGGATCTCAATATATTTGATTTATAGTATATGGTGAATTTCATGTGTGTCATTTGACCCGTCTTTATCTTTTCAGCTCTTGCGATTCGCTTCGCACATGTCTGTTCAATGCCCTGCTGCTACTTGGTGGGTTTCTCCAGCTTTTGTTCTTTCCTTCATCTCGCTATTCAAGTTATTGAAAAATATGTTCTTATTTTAGCTGCAAATTTGTTTTCTAGGTCTGTCATATTGCTATGTATGGACGACTCAAATAAGAGAAGTCAGTTTTTGAATTTACTTAGGCGAAGAATCCGTTACAGTTATAGTTTGGGTCTATTCATTCATCTCGCGATTCAAGTTATTGAAAATTATGTTCTTATTTTAGTTGCAAATATGATTACGAAGTCTGTGCAGGGTTGTTATGTAGGGATAGTCGAATGGGAGAAGTCAATTTATGAATTTACTTAGGCTAATCTCTTATTGTTATAATTTAGGTCCATCATGGTGAGGGTATGACATAGATGATGATGCTCTTTGTTTATTAGAACTCTGAAGTAAATTTATGTACTTGTGGTCATCATGTATGATGTAGAGTATTCCTTATGTGTTACTTATAGTTCCATTTTCATCCCTTCTCCATGTAATAGGGCAAAACTATGTACGAAATTTCTTGCATTTTTTGGATTTATCATAGATCTTCTTGCATGTTAATTTCTCCCCCG